TTATTCACAACTAAAAAGTATTCAATAGTTTCCAGTAAAAGGAAGCAGTTAGACATTTTCCTTTGCTATCTGAAGTAGTTGTCTTTTGTCTTTGAGAACACTGAATCAAATATCAAATAAATATAACTTAGTAGGCATATTTGCAACCTCAAAGCTAGTTTTATTAATTCCATAAAAACAACTTCCATTGAATCCATACTTTCCAAAATACCAGTGTTTTTGTCATTTGTTCATGATACCTTCTACAGGTGATTGGTTTATTTTGTGGCACGCATATGTAAAACTGAATTTCTTGTCTTGGGGTCCATTTATTTAAGGCAAAATACCCAAGATCACTTTGTGTTACTAGATCTTATTTTTTTGGTATAAATATAATTTTCTCCTATTAACATGTCCAAGGATGAATTTACATGAGAAAAATTCTAGTCCAATTCATACCTTTCATTCTTACCACCTAAATTATCTATTATGAATTAGCTAAGTGCGTAGTGTTAATGAATATTTCTTGCATGGTCTTGTTTATCTATTGCTAGCATAAAGAGTGAGTTATAGAACATCAATAATTATGAGCTATTTTGATGTAGCTATATTTGTCAGTCCATCTTTCTAATTGTCTCACTATTGCCTCCTCTTAGTCATTTATCTTTATTTTCCGCTCGGAACTGTTCTTAATGCTCTGACTTCTTATACTTCTAGGCACAGCCAATACCGATGTTTGTAGTGGAACTAAGATGTTGCAAGATACATAGATGCTTGTGTGGTTTTATGTGCCAATGTGCTAATCTGGTTCAATGGGTAAGAATATTGTCTCAATATGTAGTTTGAGAGTTTTTGCATGTGAAATATCGTGCTGGAGTAGGCATCGACATACTACTGTGTACCTTAGTCTATGCGAGTTTTAAATGTAATAAGATGTTTCTGAGTACCTACGATATATGTTGTTTTTTAGCAACAGAATATTGGGAGGGGAGGCCCCTACCTTTTTTTGTTTAATAAAACAAGGGCTTCTGCCAAGATACCAGTATCTTAGTTTCATACATGGGGTGTAGTAAGTCGAATCTCATTCAAAACAGAACCGGACCCAGAAATTACACGCATCCTGAATCCAACTTCCAAAATGGGAAAGATGAACAAGGAAAATAAAAAATAGAACGGTAGTACAGCTGGATGAGATGAAAACTGAACCGAAAGGAACAAACTTAGCAATCCATTGATCCAGCATTGAACTGAAATCAGAGCATTCTGGTTTTACATAGTTGTATGTTTTTTGTTTTTGCATGATTGTGCTTGGCAACTCTTCTCCTCAACCAAGAGAGAGTTTTGGAGTGCATTTCTGATTTGGTCGACTATTGTTAAGAAAAAAAGGAAGAAGAATATCTGCAAGGAAAAATGGATAAGCAAGACTGTTTTTTATTCCATGGACCTTGAAAAATATAAACATAATCCAACCGTTGTAGCCAATATATTCATCTCGCCCTCTGGTCCATGAGTAGATGCCAGCTTCGATGTTTTCCCTGATTCCTAAACGCTAGTTGTAGCCAATTTGAAAATGTTTCTATTTTTATGCCGTGACTAATAAGTGCTCTGCCATTTCATTTATAAGAGGGAAAACTGCCTACAGAGAGAATAGAAGAGAGAAAAGAAAAACGGGACCAGTAGGATCCAGCCCTGAAGAAACCTCAAGCTAACCGCCACAAGCCTCAACATAGAGACTGTACTCAGTTGTCAGGATCCTGCTAACAGCCATCTCCGATGCACTAATCCCATTCAATTTTGACTGCTTCAATGGGTAGATTGCAGCTGCTGTTTTATGGGCTTTATGGAAGACTAGAAACACAATTGTTTAATTATCGTGATGCGTTTTCATATGATCTGGCGAGTATTAATACTCAAACGCCGCACTGACTAATATATTGGTCTGGAGTACATAGCTTAGGCCTACTAGATACACTGGTCAACGGAGCAAGGCTACTGCTGCGGGTAGCGGCTGAAAGTTTCAGCAACAAGCGAGGCTGGGCGCTTGCGGTGCCGAGAATTGCAGGATAAGCAGGAGAGTTGTTGTATTCGGCCCAGTTCTTTTGGCTCGATTATGAACAATCTTGATCTGATCCTCCAAAAGAAATGAACAATCTTGATCTGGAAAATCAAAAGCTCAAAAGAACTCGATCTAATTGATTAAAATCATCTGAGAAGAGTCGTGCTATGCACATGATAAATGATGGACGACGCATAGACGATGGTAAAATCTGGCCGTACATACATATAACTGAACAGGGCGCCGGCCGCTGGATTGATTTATCGTGCATCGATCGTCCCTTTTTGTCGTGCATGGAGCAGTTTCGATCTGAGAATGGGTAGTTCAATCGAAAATCGTGCGGGAACCTCGCTTCTGGCAATTCTGAGCGCTCCCACGGAGTACCCCCTGTTTGAGAGGCAAATTACGGAGAAACTGCCACTGGTGGCCGGCCGCACCAAACGAGTCGCACGACAAGTCTTCTCTGTCGCGATCCCCCAACTCCCCGCCGCTAGGGTTGCAGGGCCGCCGCCGCCGCGTCGCCCGACAGCCTCGCCTGACTCCGCCCCAGCCGCCGGCCTCGACGCCCGACGCTGCCTCGCCCGACTCCGCCCCAGCCGCCAGCCTCGACGCCCAACGCCGCCTCTCCCAACTCCGCCCCGGCCGCTAGCCTCGACTCCCGACGCCGCCGGTGACCTCGACGCCCGACGTCGCCTCAGGCGAGCTTTCCCCTCTCTGTCTCCTAGATGGATGGATGAGTGGATGAACTGGATGCATGTTTCCTCTCTGCTCTGTCTCCTAAATCGATGAATGAATAGATGAATGGATGTATGTTTGTTTGGTAGGAGTAGATGATTTGGTTGATTTCTGAATGGATGGTGCTAGCTTTTTCCTAGAGGATGGATGGATGGATGAATTTTGGTACTGTGAGTGCTCAATGCTACCGTGATTACAAGTTATAGCAAAGGAAACTCGGAACCTTCTTTATTGTAATATTTAGCAATCTATGATATTCACAAATCGTTTTCATGCTCATATTTGACGATAAATTGCTCGAAACAACCAAGTGTTAGCAATTCAGCACTCAGTTTCAGTTCAGGGTACATACATTTCAGCACACAACACATCCCATAATCTCAGACCACAATCACAGAAAAGAACTTGACGGCTGATTCTGGCTGATTCTGTGGGAAGTTTCCCAAAAGCTGAAAGGAACTGGGCCTCAGTTGGTTAGATAGAGAGCTGTATGGTTTACTGTTTTTCTTCAAGGTTGTTGGTGCTTTCAGGTCGTGCTATTGGAGTGTGCTCTGTGTTAGCTACATGGCTGTAGATGAAATTTATAAAATTCTGGTAGTAATTGTATTCCTGTAATGTTCGAGCTGAGGCTTTGCCTGTGCTGAGGATATATGGTACTATGTTTATCTATTTTCAAGCAATTGAAGATCGGGGGCCCTGTTGGTCCATGTGGTCGATTTTTTTTTTATAGTGGAACATATATACTCCCTCTGTTCACTATTATAAGGCGTTGAAGACGTTTCAGACAGCATGCAAAGCAGCCCATTTTCAGCTGTCTGAAATGACTTATAAAAGTGAACGGAGGGAGTAGTCATTATGCATACATATGCATGTTTCAAAATTTGAATTAAGAATATAAGATAAATCATTTAATTCGAAAAATAAAAATTTGCTATGATCGGACACATACACTACTACTACTTTTTTACATATACCAAACCGCATATACTACTAGGAGTAGGTCTAGAGTTGTCTCCCATTGGAAGTGATGAATCAGCTTAAAAGCCCAAATTTGACACCTGGCCCCTCTGTAGGTATTCTCGGTCTCTCCAGCCGCCAGACACGAAGAAGTCCGTGACTCTGGCAGCGGTTGCCCACGGCCAATAAGAAGGAAGCCGCGGCAGTTCCAGGGACAAGAAGATGACAGCAGCCAAGACCAAGAGGCGCACGCCCGATGGAACCGCCGGACGGAGGCCTCGGAAAAGGGCACGCGATCTCCCTAGTCCCAGCCACGGCGATCTCATCAGCGACCTTCCCGATGCCATCCTAGGGAGCATCATCTCCCTCCTCCCAACCAAGGACGGCGCCCGCACGCAAGCTATCTCCCGGAGATGGTGTCCGCTCTGGCGATCCGCGCCTCTCAACCTGGACGCCCACGACATCTGCCTCAACAAGTTCAAGCTCTCCTCCATCGTCTCCAGTATCCTCCGTGATCACCCAGGCCCGGCCCGCCGCTTCTCGTTCAACCACATTCGCCTGCACAAACCGAAGAAAAAGTTGGCTGAGGACGCTGCCCAGATCGAGAGCTGGTTCTTCTCCTCATGCCTCCGCAACCTTCAGGAACTTGACATCAGCTTCGAGTTCTGGGGTGGTTTACATGCGTCAGTGGACCACTACCAGCTGCCATTACCATCCATGATCCGCTTGGCGCCGACTCTTCTCGTGGCCCGGATCGGCATGTGCAAACTCCCAAGTGACATTGCAGCGCCTTCTCTGAATTTCCCCCTCCTCCGGAAACTCACTCTGTGGCTTGTTTCAATCTCGGAGGAAGCCATGGACGTGTTGCTCTCTGCCTGCCATGTTTTGGAGGCGCTGTTTCTGCAGGACATTCATGATGTGGGTTGCCTCCACATTAGCTCGCCAACTCTTAGGATCATAAGCTTCAGCGCTACCCTCCTTGGCAGAGAAGAATTGGTCGTTGACGACGTACCTCGCCTTGAAAGGCTTCTTTGCCAAGGTGTAGACGGTGAGACTATTCAAGTAAACAAGGCGCCTAAACTGAAGGTATTGGGGCCTTTGTCACCACACGTCTCCAAAATCAAGATTGCAAACCTAGTCTTCCAGGTACGTAGCAGCAACACTACCCTTATTAGCTCTCGCATTCAGCAATCCTAGATGCATGCATGCATAATTGTTTCTCATGCCCATTGTTCTCTTTTCTTCAGGGAAGGATCCGGCCCAGCTTAGGCCATTCGATATGCACCATGAACATTTTGGCTCTCAAGTTTTCTGGTCCTGATTTGAACGCGGTTCTCGGTGTTCTCAACTGCTTCCCCTGCTTGGAAAAGCTCTATGTCATTGTAAGTGCTAATTTTGTTTGCTTTAGATGTTGAAACGAATGCTTGATTCTCATGTATATATCTACTACCACTATAAAAGAAAGAGAGGGGCAGATCCAAACAATCCCACCCATCCATCATCAAGATCTAATGACCCTTAATCATTCTGTGTTTAACGCTACCAACCACGCCCTTAATCGATCGGTAACCCACCCCGCCGTTGAAAAAAAAAGAAAACCGTACGCACGATCTCTCGCCCCGTCCGCAGGACCTCTCGCCCCATCCTTCTCCTCCCACGCCGTTCGCCGCCCGCGGCACGCGAGAGCCGCCCTTCGCTGCGGGAGCCGCCGCAGGTCGCCGCCCGTCGCGCCCTTCGCCGCGGGAGAAATGGAGCCGCCGCCCGTCGCTTGCCGCGGGAGCCGCCGCAGGTTGCCGCCTGTCACGTCCTTCGCCTTGTCGCGCCCTTCGCCGCGGGAGAGCCGGAGCAGCCGCCCGTCGCGCGCCGGGGGAGCCTCCTCGGGTCGCCGCGGTAGAGCCGGAGTCGCCGCGATCGTGAGCAGCCGCCCGCCGTCCTCCCCTACGCGGTCGAACCTTCCTTCGGCCCCTCCTCGCGCCGCCCCTCTCCTTTGCCCCGGCCGTCAAGACCCCGCGGTCGCTTCACCGGGTTGCGGCACCGCCCCATCCTTGAGGTGGGATGACCAAATCCAGAATCGCCTTACCTAACGGGGATGGACTGGAGATTTGCATCCAATCAGCCAATCAGGCCTCCCTCATCTCCACTAAGTGCATCTGAACACATGACTTCTTGCATGGTATGTGTTCGACGATTTTTCTCTGAAGGCACAAGTTGCTGCTATGTTGATTCAACCTTTGGGTAGCATTCTGATTAAAGTGATTTGGTTTCTTTTTTCAACCTTTGGGTTGTATTCTGATGGAAGTGATTTTGTTCTTCCAATTTATGTGTAGAATGTTCTGTTTGTGGAGCAAGTAGGCGAACCATTGGAGCGACGTGATACTCCATATTGGCATAATCCCACTAAATAGCATGGTTAATGATTCCGATTTTAGCATCTAATAATTTTTCCAATTACTTACAACTCTTATTCATATATGGTTATTTGCTGTAATGTACAGAACATTTTTCATATATCATGACCCTTTGCAGTGTTTATTTGGAACACAGGATTCCTAATTTTTGGACCTGTACACAACCAGATTTTGGGGATTTATAATGTGAGTGAGTTATTATGTTACTTGAATCGGTGTACGTAACCTGGTTTTGTTGGGGCTTGGTTTTCAGTGATTCCAACAGGTCAGTGACTTTCCACGCTCTCAGACAACAACATTCTTAATTCAAACGGTGATGTGATTTTATCCATATGAATATTGTGTTATCGTTTGTTTTAATTCAAGTGATATTACACATGTAGCTTGCTGGGTATATTTTACATATTTACTTTTGGAAATTTCTTAGAGATTATGGATGACAGCAGACAACATTGCAGATACGTTGCAGCTGGGCACCCTGATCAGGTTTCCTTTTTGGAGATCATAGATGATATTAATATCATAGTTGTACTGCAATTTGCAAGGTTTCTTGTGTTTGTGTGTACAAATAGATCGAATCCAATTCAAGTGACTTTGATTAATTTCCTTTTCAAAGTTATTGTTGGGCAGCTATTGACCTCTATAATACATTTATTTTCACTTCTCTTTTGCTACCAGGAAATCTGGTCCAAGCCCCACTACAGTTTTATATAAGGATGTTGGAGGCAGCATCGGAAGAGATAAGTCTGCGGTAAATTTCTCCCTGATACAGTAATAGTGTTATCTATAGTCTTAGAAAAAAATTCAACATTTTCTGTTCTCTGCAAGGTATGTTTTCTTAGCGTTTTCTAAGCATTTTCTGGTCATCAATTGACTTATCATCCTATCTTTTGTAAACCACGAAATTTTTAAAGTTCAAAAAGCGTGTACATCAACTATTTCACTTCACAGTGATAAATGGATGGAGTGCTTGTGACACAGAAAGCCTCTTTTGTGGATCTAACAACAAAACTATGTTTCCAGTATTTCTTTCGATATGGAAACATTTTTGGATCGTCACCTAGAAAATAAATTGGCACAAGCTTACTGACATAGAGTTGCAGGTCAGCGCGCACTAAAAATATTTAAATTCAGATAAATCTTTCTGAGATAGTTTGCAGTTCCTATTTTTCTGGTCATGCTTTTTTGAAAATAACTTTTAGTCATGCTTGCCTTTATACTGCTTGTTAAAAATTCAATTTTACTTTTAGAACATGATGATAAATCTGATTCGTACTGGAATTCACTTTTCTTGAACAGAAAACAGAAGGATCAGGTTGTATGTGATAGAATATATGCCTAGAAAATGAAAAGGATAATAGATTTCTAAGTACTAGAACTGTCATACCTTTCCAGGAAGTTACTTCTTGATGTCATTCCAGAAAATAGAAGGATCAATAGAATGTTCTCGATGATCATTTTAGGTGTCCTTTTAGGCAGCAACACCAAGTAGCAGGGCTTCATCTTAGTACTGATCAATAGGAGCATGTTCGAACTACTTCATAGGTAAAAATCATTTCTTCATGACTTCTCTTATGCTCCCAGGGAATCTTGTCCAAACTCCACATCGCTGTCACCGAACAAAGTTGGAGGTACAATTGAAAGAGACCAGCCAGATTCTTGTTCCGGGTATTAAAAAGAAAACCTGGCTAGAGATTTCATGCCATGTCATTCCATTTATGTTTGCTTGTGTGCTTATCATATCTGATTACATGATTGACATTTATTTCATAATTAGTATATACTTTGATACATGATATGTTTTGCTTTATTTATGAACAACAGGATACGTTTACTTTTTGTGATCATATAAGTGAACAAACATAGCCAATGGTTAAAGTTTATATCTACTATGTATGTATATTTTTCATTCACACATGTCTCACTGCCTTTTAAGCACTTAAGAGAGCATAACTGGAGATTGCTCTCATTAAATGTGAACAAAATTGATGTTCTTTTTTTTGCAAAATAGTAAATATTGTGTTCTCTTGATTGTTTTTTTGTCTTTTCAGTTTACCTGAATCTAAGAAGTCCGACCATCAATTAATGAGAGATTTTTGCTTCTATCATTCATGGAACCATTGAAATGAAATACATACCTTGGCTCAACCAATACTTCACAATCTTTTTGCCCAAAGCAAACAGTATCATTATTTATATGTTCTAAATTAAAATATTTTCGCTTGTGTGCTCAATTAAAATTTTACCGCTTAAAGGAAAAGAAACCATTTTTATCACTCCTACAGTTCACAGGGAGAGAGAACAAGAAAGAAAACCTTTCACCAAAATCTTGTCTTCCTACTTACTTTTACTTACCAAGAAGAATCAACAATAATTGAATCTTTTAAGAAAATGGATAAAAGATCATTTTTAGTTAGTAATGTACAACTCCCAACTTGTCTCTTTTACTTCTTTTTCTGTGCATGTGCACCCTGTTGAATGGTGTTGTACTTGTACATAATGGAATTGCAAGCAAAACAATGTTATGGATGGTCTACAAGATTATCTGGATGAATTCATCTCCAGGGTAAAAGAAGGTAGGCAATGTGCATGACATTTGATTTGAAATAATATTGCCTTGAAAATGTATGAGTGCTTTCTTGGCATCTGACATTGCAGAATCAAACATTGATGCATACCTTTGTAAATTCTCTCGGGGAGAAAAAGTATAATTTGCAAGTTGCAACATTGATTCCAAAATACATGGTGTTCACACATATCTATTTTATGTAGTTTGTGATAAACCAAAATGTTCAGAGTTTTTGAAAGCACCATCAATGGTCTCTATTTATATGGAGATAAGTTATGAAAAAATGAGGTTCAACAACTTTGAACCTATCTCTTGCTAGATGTAAGGGCCTGAAAACATGGTTTCAGGTCTATATGATGAATGTTACCTTCGCTGTTTCTTTTGTGTGTCATCTTATATTACCATCAACAACTATAAGTATAAGGTAGTATGAGACATGCACACAAGGTGTATTTGATTGGGAGTGGATGTATCTTTTAAAAGAGCATTAGCAGAGACGTGCGTTGCACGTGCAAGCTTACTAGTTGTAGTCTAGTTAGCAACTACCTACTTTAACATATATTCTCATGCATGTATCTGTTGTTTCCCAGTGGGACAAATATTTGAAGGCAAAGATGAAAAACTTGTATCAGTATGACCCACTAAATCCAGTCAAATTCCTTGAGAGCCATCTCAAAGTACTCGTGTTGAAGAATTACACAGGTGGCGAGGAAGAAGTTGGATTTGCCAAGTTTTTTGTTTTGAATGCGAGGGTGGTGAAGGAAATCAACTTTGCAGTGTGTGACACGATTGCCATCGACAAGAATTGGATGACTGATCAACTCAGGCTGCTACAAGTGGAAGCTAGAGCTTCCCCGGACGCTCGGCTGAAATTCAGAAGAGGTTACTCTCGCTGGCAGACCAATTATGTCAACTCAAGTGACTTGTCAATTGCCGACCCTTTCAGCTGATGTTTTGCAAATGGGGTCGATCCTCTTTCCAGGGAACCGTATAGTATATATGTGCTCTGTCAATGGCCTATCCTTTTTAGATTACGTTGATAGATATGTGATGGCTTCCTTTATAGATTACGTTGATAGCTGAAGACTGTGTGTGTCTTCTTTGCAAATGGGATAGCTTCATGCTTGTGTTGAGGATTGAATTATCTCTCCTTTTTTTGCACATAAGTATGTGATTTTCTAATTGTGATGAGTTGACGCTTATGCCGTGCTTGTCGGGAACATCTGGAAAAGAAGGAACTCATTGGTCTCCAACTCCAGGAAAGGAACCGATGTTGTTCTCAAATGCTGCGCCGAGTTCCGCTGCTCGTCATCTGCTATAATTCGGTCTACTTTGGTAGCCTGCTGTGATACTTTTGATCCAGCTTTAACTATTTTTTTCCTTCTTAACTCTACTTCCTCATCGGTGTACCTTGTAACTTTTTTTAATATTTCCTTAGTTATAGACTTACAGTAACTTTATTTACAGTTTTGCTAAAGCACATCTAGATGTGCCATAAGTATTGCACATCTAAATCCTATATCATTGATCTTACGTTGAGATTAGTGTGGATATTTTCTTGTTCTTTTTTCTTTTCCTCTTCATGCTTAATTCACTCACTTAGGCTGGTCATAGTGGGGAGTAACTTAGACTAGTAACATACATATGTTACTAGTCTATGTTACTACCTTCATAGTGGGTAGTGTCATAGGTGTGGTAACATAGTTGCCTTCATTTATTACTTTGTAGACTCATTATGCATTGGAAACCGCTATGTGATGGTGACATATTATGTTACTCTATTTGCCTCTCTCCTCATTAACTACTTGCCACATCATCATTTTTGCTTATGTGGCATCTATGTTACTACCTATGTTACTCCCACTATGACCAGCTTTAGATGTGCAATAAGTAGGACACATCTAGATGTGCCCTAGACTTTCCCCTTTCTTTAATATTTCCTTAGTAACTTTTTTTAATAGCCCCTAATAATAAAGGGGCTATTGCCTTTTTTTAAAAACGCCGCCAGATTTGGTTATTATATATTAATACCCCCATCTGTCATGAGGAGACAAGCAGCTCGGTGGCTACGGCCCTGGTCTTCCCCTTTCTCTGCACGCCTCCAACTTTCCTCGCGCAGTAATGGGCTAGCGCATCTGCCGGTCGTGACGCTCCTGATTTTTATTATTTCATTTTTTGCTTTTTTCTTTATCATTTTTGTATTTGTTTTTCCTTCTTTAAATTAATCCAGGATTTTCAAAAAGCCAAATTTCTAAAGTTGCGAGTTTTGAAAGAATATATCGGAAAATCATAAAAATGTTCGTGATTTCAAAACACTGTTCACATATTATAAAAAAATCACGATTTTAAAAAAAAAACTTAGAGAAATAAAAATGTTCATGATTTTTAAAAAATTATCTTGTATTCAAAAAATATTCGGTAATTTGAAAAAAAAATGTCCATGAATTTTTTTAAATGTTCACAAAAATTAGAACGGATACGTAAATGATGGACAAAACAAACTGTCGCTTACGTAGAGGTTTTATTAGGGGATCTGTAAAAGTAATTTTATGATTTTATTTAGATCCTTGCCTATGTTGTCTCAACATAGCCGGTCCCAGCCCGGGTAAAGGAGGAGGGTTGTGATAGGCTTGGCGAGCCAACGTAAAAACTCAGCCACTCTTATGGAGATGAAACCCAAAAGATTTTCGTTGGGGCGTAACCCTCTCAGCGACGCGCCACATCGGAACCCGGGTGTGGTGGAAAATGGGCAAGGGCCGGGCCGTCACCCCCAAGTGGCGCGCCGTATCTTGATCCGGATACGGTGGCAAGTGAGCGAGGATCGGGTCGTCGCATCCTTAGTGGCGCGCTACATCGGCGCCCGGATGTAGTGGAAAATGAGCAAGGGTCTTCGCATTTGACTCGACGAGTGCGAAGGGTAAGAAAGCTAGCCGAGCCTAGGAGGATTCGCTTAGGTAGCTGGAACGTAGGGTCTCTGACAGGAAAGCTTCGGGAGCTAGTTGATGCAGCAATGAGGAAAGGTGTTGATATCCTTTGCGTCCAAGAAACCAAATGGAGAGGACAGAAGGCGAAGGAGGTGGAGGATACCGGCTTCAAGCTGTGGTACACGGGAACGGCTGCAAACAGAAATGGCGTAGGCATCTTGATCAACAAGAGCCTCAAGTATGGTGTGGTAGACGTCAGGAGACGTGGGGACCGGATTATCCTGGTCAAGCTGGTAGCTGAGGACTTGGTTCTCAATGTTATCAGCGCATATGCCCCGCAAGTAGGCCACAATGAGAACACCAAGAGGAAGTTCTGGGAAGGCTTGGAAGACATGGTTAGGAGTGTACCGATTGGTGAGAAGATCTTCATAGGAGGAGACCTCAATGGCCACGTGGGTACATCTAACACAGGTTTTGAAGGGGCGCATGGGGGCTTTGGCTATGGCATCAGGAATCAAGAAGGAGAAGATGTCTTAAGCTTTGCTCTAGCCTACAACATGATTGTAGCTAACACCCTCTTTAGAAAGAGAGAATCACATCTGGTGACTTTTAGTAGTGGCCAACACTCTAGCCAGATTGATTTCATCCTCTCGAGAAGAGAAGATAGGCGTGCGTGCCTAGACTGTAAGGTGATACCTGAAGAGAGTGTTGTACCCCAGCATAAGCTGGTGGTTGCTGACTTCCGCTTTCGGATTCGTGTCCAGCGGGATAAGCGTGCCAAGGTCGCTAGAACGAAGTGGTGGAAGCTCAAGGGGGAGGTAGCTCAGGTATTCAAGGAGAGGGTATTTAAGGAGGGCCCTTGGGAGGAAGGAGGGGATGCGGACAATGTGTGGATGAAGATGACGACTTGCATTCGTAAGGTGGCCTCGGAGGAGTTTGGAGTGTCCAGGGGAAGGAGAAGCGAAGATAAGGATACCTGGTGGTGGAATGATGATGTCCAGAAGGCGCTTAAAGAGAAGAAAGATTGCTTCAGACGCCTATACCTGGATAGGAGTGCAGACAACATAGAGAAGTACAAGATGGCGAAGAAGGCCGCAAAGCGAGCTGTTGGTGAAGCAAGGGGTCGGGCATATGAGGACCTCTACCAACGGTTAGGCACGAAGGAAGGTGAAAGGGACATCTATAAGATGGCTAAGATCCGGGAGAGGAAGACGAGGGATATTGGCCAAGTCAAATGCATCAAGGACGGAGCAGGCCAACTCTTGGTGAAGGACGAAGAGATTAAGCATAGATGGCGAGAGTACTTCGACAAGCTGTTCAATGGGGAGAATGAGAGTTCTACCATTGAACTGAATGACTCCTTTGATGAGACCAGCATGCGTTTTGTGCGGCGCATCCAGGAGTCTGAGGTGAAGGAGGCTTTAAAAAGGATGAAAGGAGGCAAGGCGATGGGCCCTGATTGTATCCCCATTGAGGTGTGGAAAGGTCTCGGGAACATAGCGATAGTATGGCTAACCAAGCTTTTCAACCTCATTTTTCGGGCAAACAAGATGCCAGAAGAATGGAGACGGAGTATATTAGTACCAATCTTCAAGAACAAAGGGGATGTTTAGAGTTGTACTAATTACCGTGGAATTAAGCTGATGAGCCATACAATGAAGCTATGGGAGAGAGTCATTGAGCACCGCTTAAGAAGAATGACAAGCGTGACCAAAAATCAGTTTGGTTTCATGCCTGAGAGGTCGACCATGGAAGCCATTTTCTTGGTACGACAACTTATGGAGAGATATAGGGAGCATAAGAAGGACTTGCATATGGTGTTCATTGATTTGGAGAAGGCCTATGATAAGATACCGCGGAATGTCATGTGGTGGGCCTTGGAAAAACACAAAGTCCCAGCAAAGTACATTACCCTCATCAAGGACATGTACAATAATGTTGTGACAAGTGTTCGAACAAGTGATGTCGACACCGATGACTTCCCGATTAAGATAGGACTACATCAGGGGTCAGCTTTGAGCCCTTATCTTTTTGCATTGGTGATGGATGAGGTCACAAGGGGTATACAAGGAGATATCCCATGGTGTATGCTCTTTGCGGATGATGTAGTGCTAGTTGACGATAGTCGGACGGGGGTAAATAGGAAGTTAGAGTTATGGAGACAAACCTTGGAATCGAAAGGGTTTAGGCTTAGTAGAACTAAAACCGAGTACATGATGTGCGGTTTCAGTACTACTAGCTGTGAGGAGGAGGAGGTTAGCCTTGATGGCCAGGTGGTACCTCGGAAGGACACCTTTCGGTATTTGGGGTCAATGTTGCAGGAGGATGGGGGTATTGATGAAGATGTGAACCATCGAATCAAAGCCGGATAGATGAAGTGGCGCCAAGCTTCTGGCATTCTCTGTGACAAGAGAGTGCCACAAAAGCTAAAAGGCAAGTTCTACAGGACGGCGGTTCGACCCGCAATGTTGTATGACGCGGAGTGTTGGCCGACTAAAAGGCGACATGTTCAACAGTTAGGTGTGGCGGAGATGCGTATGTTGAGATGGATATGTGGCCACACGAGGAAGGATCGAGTCCGGAATGATGATATACGAGATAGAGTTGGGGTAGCACCAATTGAGGAGAATCTTGTCCAACATCGTTTGAGATGGTTTGGGCATATTCAGCGCAGGCCTCCAGAAGCTCCAGTGCATAGCGGACGGCTAAAGCGTGCGGAGAATGTCAAGAGAGGGCGGGGTCGACCGATTTTGACATGGGAGGAGTCTGTTAAGAGAGACTTGAAGGATTGGAGTATCGACAAAGAGCTAGCTATGGACAGGAGTGCGTGGAAGCTTGCTATCCATGTGCCAGAGCCATGAGTTGGTTGCGAGATTTTATGGGTTTCACCTCTAGCCTACCCCAACTTGTTTGGGACTAAAGGCTTTGTTGTTGTTGTTGTTGTTGCCTTGCGCGTCGGGTAAGAAAAATGTTTATGTGTTCTGTACAACGCCGAGCCTCCAAAAATTGACACAATTTTCTATGGG